TGAACAGAGGGTCCTTGATTCTTACAAGACAGGTGTTTCCCCACCCAATACCGTCCTTTAAAAAGGGAGCAAAGTACTGTGTTGCACCATCACAGATGAATCTTGAAAACACTTGGTCAAGAGAAAGAAAACCTGCTACGTGATTCAATCTGTACGTTGTTCAGAATAGAGAACCCCACGTAGATTTCTTTCAAAGTTATGGCTTAGAGCTAGGGGAAAGGCTGTAAAGGGGACAGGAAGGGAGAGCTTAACGGACAGGCTTTTGCTATGGTCAGGAAAATGTTCTACCACTGACTGTATTAACGGCTACACATGCTTGTGAAAGTACAAATGCACATTTTATATATTTTTATAAGGTGAGTTATACAGTATATGAATTATACTTCAACAAACTGCTGAGCACAAACAATAATCAGATCCACTCAAGACCGAATTGATCTCAGTTTTATTAAAAAAAGAAAAAAAACAAAAACAAACAAAAAAACACTTTTCGCTTCTTGGATCTGTTTATTTTGCAATTAATGAAAGTCAAAGGAGCAAGCAGGAAACATTGTTACTCGGGGACTTGGAATTTCTCGTTATGACCACAAAAACAAGTACAGAACCTGTCACGATATTCAAAAGAAGATTTATTTTCCTTATTAGCAAATCAAGAGTGTTAAGTTTCCACCAAGGAGGGAAAAATATTTGCTGATTGTTTTAGAGAGGTGTGCTGGAAGACTTAAACCTTTTAAAGAGTTCCTAGCACTTGGAGTTCTTAGAGCAGTAATGCATTAAAGTGCATTTAAAACTTCTCAGAGTGACATCAAGGGCCATCAGTATGAGCTGACCAGGTATTTCAAGCTCCAGGTTAATTGCTGGATAAACCACTGGCTATCGGCAAAGAAAATAAATGCAAGAACTATTTAGTTATAGAGGGGAAAAAGCAATATAAAGCCTGAGGAATAACAGGCCATAGCAATGCTTGGACAGGAAGATGATAAAGACCAATCAAGAAGAGAAGAAGCAAAGAAAAGGGATGAACAACATAGCTACATGCTGAAAAATAAGATCTGTTTCTTAGGGTCGGGGTCCCAGAGTGAACCTTTTCCATACTGTGGAAGAGGTTGCCAATGAGTTACACCCTGAACCCTGAAAATACGATTTTAAACTAACTCCTTCACATTTACCAATGGTTGGGAAATACATGACAATTTTTTATCATGTAATAAGAAAACTCTTAAATACTGGCATATATCTAGTGATTTTTTTTAAAATGCTGTCTTGCATCTGTTTCCTATGTTTAATAAAGACAGAGTCGGGGTCTAGATTCAACCTTATTTGCTTAGTGTGAAGGAATAGTGAGAATAATTCCAGCCTCGGAAAGGGAACTAACTATACTTTAATTTAAATGCAAATGAGAAACAGGATCAGCAAATACTTGTCAACTATAGAAAAGCCAGCTTGGTCTCTGTATGAAGAAACAATGCTTGACTAATCCACAAAAGTCCTTTCAGAAGGAAAAATAAACTTGTGGGGAAAGGAAAACCATGCATGTATTTTCCTCTTGGAAAAGTCTGCACACATTTTTCACACCGATGACGATTTCTTAATTGAGTTACCCTTGGACCGGGCTGTTGGGGAAACTTACTATGGATAAAGAATTAATGTCAAAGTAGCAGGGCAGGAATGTTATTAAAAGGAGAAGTGTAAATTGTGGTATTTCCCAACAAATCAATCCTAGGTCAATCTAATTTAATGGTTTATTATGTTTTGGAAAAGAGAGTACCCAGTTTAAAAAAAAAAAAAAAAAAAAAAACCTCTAAATTTGAAAACGATACTTTTAAGGGAGTGATAGGCCCGAATGGCCGTGGGGGGAAAACTATACAGACAGAAACGGCAGGGTTTTGGCTTTGGTAACAAACTGTGTGCATGCAGCTCCAGTTATGTAAATGGATTTGACTGCTAAGTCCTCACGGGGCACAGAGATCTAGGCATCATCAAGGCTGGTCCTTAAAGATCTCTTCTCAAGACTGGTTGAAGATTGGGACAAGGTGATTGGAACTCAGACAACTGGCAGTGCTGCCTTCTCTGTACACACACACACACACACACACACACACACACACACACACAGCTGCTGCCATGTCTGCGGGGCATATTTGGTCCTGAGCCGAAGCAAAACAGAAGGAGTTGGCCAGGCTCGGCACACTTACCCATCCGGCATGTAGAGCAACACAGAGAGAGGGGGGTCGGCCAGCTGTGGAGAGA